CTGTGCGAAGCTCACCAAGCCCACACAGCCCCGCCAGCCTTTTGGGGCGCCCCGCGCATTCGCACTGCTCCCACACCCGTATCCGGTCCTGGCGCCTGCTGCTCGGCCCCAGCACACCTCCATCTGTTGGCAAAAGCTGGGAATATCCCAGCTGTGCCAGAAAGGCTGCTTTGGCATTTCGCATCCACGTGGGCTGCCGGTCGAGCCGTGCCTATGGCAACGTGCCGCTGCTCCACGCGGAACGCCGAGCGCGGACATCCGCGCAGCAGCCGGGCATGCGGCAGCCGACGGGAACACGAGTGGCCATGGAGGGGAGCGGGGGATGAATGAGCAGATGCTGCCCATGAGCCAAGAGCAGACATGAGCAGCTTGTCGCTAGACACGAGAGTGGCTGCTCCGTGGGCACAGAACCAGCACAGTCCCTTCCTGCCCCATGACCTAGGCATAGAGCCAGTTTTGCTGACATGCTCCCCCGCAAAACCTGTCTCCAAACAAGATCACTGCCTACTGCAGACATGTGGCGTGGCAAACTTGAGCTTGGCCTTGGAGCCTGGCAACGTGACAAGCAAAAGGGAAAGCGGGTCTGAGCATGGAGCATTGCCCTGGGTGGAAACACTGGCTTCCCCAGGTGCTTCCCCAGAGGGGAGTCCAAGGGAGATGCATTAGATTCTGTTAATAAGTTAAATTATTCCTCCAAAGAAAATGTTTACGAGGAAACACAGCTCCTTGCAAGCCATGTTACCATTTCCCCAGGGCACCCCAGGGAGCTGAGCCCTCGCGGTGCAGGGCAAAGCTGGGGAGGCTCCTGGGTGCCACATGGCCACCACAGTGGGTAAAGCCAGCGCCGCGGGTCCGGGATTGCCCACCCTTCTTGCTGTCCCGCAGGAAGAACGCGGTAGAGGTAGAACTGGCCAAGTGCAAGATCGACATGATGTCCCTCAACAGCCAGCTGCTCGACGCCATCCAGCAGAAAGTGAACCTCTCGCAGCAGCTGGAGGCCTGGCAGGTGAGCAGCAGCACACGGCGCCTTTGGGTGCTCCCCACGCTTTCTGGCAGTCCTGCACCTTGGCTGCAGGGGGTTCAAGCAAAGCCAGGCCTCCCCTCTCTCCCCGTTTGGGGCTGGAATCGCTCTTTAGGAGCTGCAGTTTAACAGGGAGGTCAAGACCCTGGCATAGGTAGGTGCGCGGGCGGCCGTCCCCAGGGCACCCACTGCGGGTGCTGCCACGCAGTGCAGTGGAGGCAGCAGCTCTTGGGAGCACCCCGGGACATAGAGGCAGCTTCCAGCAGCCCAGGAGATCGAGCAAAGTGGAAAAGATATGGTCAAGGTGCCAGACAAAGTCATAAAGAAGAAAACCCCAAACCACATGGCAATTTCAGCAGCCACCCCAGCCACGCTCAGGTTATGGATTGGGGGTGTAAAGTGTTACATAGAGGCTGCGAGCGCTTGTGCAAGGGCAGAGCCGTCTCCTCGGCAAGGGCAGCGCCTCCGTGAGAACGGCCGAGGTGGGAGCCAAGGCGCAGGCGGCTCCGCTGCGGGTCCCCATGGACCCGGGCTCCACTGCCCACCTCCCCAGCGCCCCAGCACCTGTCTCATCTCCACTGTCTTCTCTTTTCTCTCTTCTTTTTATTTTTTTCTTCTCCTGCGTACAGTTTGCTTCCTCAGGGCTTTTTACTATCTGGCTCCTTTGGTTTCTGATCTAGTGGCCTTTCTCAGTTCCTGTACCAACAGCTTTAGTCGTACACCCCTCCTGCCTTTGAGGTGAGCTCGCGCCTCCCCGCCGAGCACCGCCGCTCCATCTCCATCCGTCCGTGTGTCCGTGTGTCCGTCCTGCTGCTGAGCCCTCTACCCAGGCAGCCCCGGTGCCTCTGTGCGGGAGGAGCCGGAGCGCCGCTGCCATGGGCAGTGGTTTTATAACTCAGAGCCACTTGCTTGCTCTAGTCTGTGTTTGGTCCCCCAATAGCCCCATTGCAGGGCTTTTAGAACCAGCACCGGCGTTTCATGTGGGGCCAGGCTGCCCAACGGCATCCGATGCCACAACTGGCAGGTCCCCAAGGCAAGGACAGGTCATGCTCCCAATTTGGGGCTAGTTTGCATGCAGTAAGTTTGAGCAAGTCTCAGTGATGAGATAGCTGAATTACTGGCTTTGAAGGTAGCTATAAAACCCCAGCATGGTGGCAGGTGCCAGAGTCTCCCTTGGGGACCCCCTTGCCCTGCTGCACCACAGTTACTGCTTCTCTCTGCCTCTCCCATGGGGACGTTTGCCGGCCGTCCCCACCAGGGCAGTGCCGCCGTGCTCGTCATGCCGCCTCCATCCCATGCCAGCCGCCCGTCACCGCGCGCGGGCCCGGCCCACCGCTAACGCTCCCTGCTCTCCCTCTGCCGCAGGATGACATGCACAGGGTCATTGACCAGCAGCTGATGGACAAACACCCGAAGGAATGGTGCCAGCTTGCCTATTCCTTCTCCAGGGGCTACGGCGCAAAGCGGGGTGCCCGTCCCCCCGCCGGGCCCCGGCCGGAGCAGCAGGGGGATGAGCCTGCCGGGGCGGAAGGGAATCGTCTCTTTTCCTTTTTCAAGAAAAATTAAGCTGCCGAGGAGAAATCTCACCAGTGGTTCCTTCCCTGAGGTGGGGAGCGGGAAGCAGTGGCCCGGCTCACTGATGGACCCGGCTCTCATGCACTAAGGAAAAAAGGAAAGAAAAAAAAAGAAAAAAAAAGAGGGGCAAAGGAAACCCTCGAGACTCTGCACTGTTTCCACCACACCTGGTCTGAACCAAATGTTTACGCGCACTGGAGTGTTACAGTGTGACAGTGTCACATTAAGCAAAAGCAACTTAAGAAAAAAAATTAAGCAGAGTGATAAACTTCAGTGCAAACTGTCGGCGCTTTGACCCAGCCCAGTTTCTGCTGTGAAGAACAATCTGGTTGTCTTAAACGTTCTTGCACTGAAGAAGGCGCTAAGCGGCCCCAGGCCGGGCAGGGGACTGAGAGCCACCGCTGTAGCAAGTGCAGGGGGAAGGAGAGGACCGGCCACAGGAGAGGAAACGGGGAGTCCCTTATGCCACCCTCCCACCCAGCCACAACAGCGTCCTCCAGCCCACAGAGGAGCTGCTCTAGCCCGAATGTGGTGCGTGTCCTGCTCCGTGCTGGAAGACAAGTCCTTAGGGCACGTCCAGCCTGGGATGCTCTCCGCAGCTCTGCTCATGCCACAGCAGGGATCAGACTCCCTGCAGGTTAGCACACGTGCGAGCCCGCTGGTGTTGGGACCTTCTCCGGCATCCTCTTGTACACAATGAAGAGTGAGAGGCTGTAGTTGCATAAATTGCTGATTTCCTCCCCAAGGCACTGACCATCTGCAGCAGCTGACAGACTGGAGCGGAGGATGTTCAGTCCTGGGACACCTACGCTCCTGCCACCACCTCAGGGTGGTTGCAGAGCTTCAGTAAGTCACATGTTCCCCAAAGCCATGTACTCCTCTATGAGATCTGTTATTTTAACTGGATGGCCCTCCTAGAAGTCTGACACTTAGAAATAGCTTGTTGAGAGCCATAGTGATGGCAGTAGATCTTTGACATGGGCTGGCACACTTGATGCTCAGAAATTCCACAGGCATCTACCCTCACTGAAGTCAAAGCATATTAGGTCATTGATAAAGCCCTGGAAAACTCTCAGCTTGCCTTTTGCCTCGTGCAGCAACGTTAGCTATAGCCCGACAGCAATGCTGACCACTGCCTGCCTGGGGTCATTTTACTACTTGTCCTTTTGGCAAATAGGTACCTAAGCTTCCTTCTAACCACAGATGATCAGAGCCCACTTTACTGTGAGCATTTGTTTGATGAGGAGAAACATTTGGTGCACACAGAGGTGCTGGAAATCCTGCAATACGTAGCTAAGGACCATCCCTATGCACTGGATGGTCACCTCGCTGCTCATCTCTCTCATCACCAAACACTGAATCCAACTAGATTCAGAGCTGCACTGCTGCTATTGTGCAATTTGCACATGTTTTTCCAGCTCATGCTATTCATAGGACCAGATTTGTTTCTGTGCCCCATTCGAGGCTACCAGCTACACTCCCACTGTAGGAGATGAAGGTAGATTAAGCATTCTATGATTCTATGAAGGTAGATACACAGTCAGCTCTGCCCAGTGCAGCAACTTAGGTGCTAAAACACCTTTCTCCATGGAGCTGCTAATCTCCACTCAGCCTTTCTGCTAGATACCCTTCCTTCTGAGGCAGGTAAGTTAAAATAACGTCAGCCTCTTGTCTAGTGCATAGGACGGACCTGTAATACCTCAGTACAGATGCTCCTTCTAATGCAAGGATCCGAGCATCGCCTCTTTCCATACTGGCAGGGGAACTGCCACACACGTTCTGGTGTGAAATTATCCTGCACTGAGGCTGTGCGTGTTGCGAGGAGCGGCAGCACACGCTCTGGGGCTGAGGGTGCTAGGAAAACCCGGGCAGTAAAACCTGCTTACTTGAAAGCAATGAAACCTGGATTCCAGATCCTGCTCTGTGAAATACTTCCTTAAATCACACAAAAGGAAGTCAACAAAACAAAGTCAAGCACCACTACCAATACAGCCTAATACTTACCTGGATGGGAGCCTGGAGCCTCACAGGTAGGAAGGGAAACTGAACCCTGGCCTCTTCCCAAGCACTAAATATCTGCTTGTAGCCACCTGGGCAAGGGAGGAAGAGGGATGTAGCTGCATGCCAGGCACTCTCAGGATAGCAAGTCCTCACATTTTGACTCTTAACGAGGCGTAAAGATGAGACTTGTGCTGAGGATCTCCTGCTGTCAGGACTATGGTGGTGGGACCCATCACCATCAACTTAGACACCTGCAGTAGTAGGCACAGGTTCATGGATGCCAGCGACACTTGATCGGTTGTCTTGCACATCGCTTTGACGACAACGCTGCTTGTTTTGGGAGAGCCCTGCAAACATCTTGGTCCTCATAACCCTTCGTTCTGCTGCCAGCAGTTACCTGCACACCCAAGAGCTCTCTTCAAACCATGCGCCGAACAGCTGGGTGGCCTCTGCCCCTGTGACAATGTATGGATGTAATCTTAAGGCAAAGGCCTTAAGTTGGTTGAACATGCAGCAATGAGAGCAAGAAAGGTGCCTTCTGCTACACGTTTGCCAGGAGGAAGGCGATTCAGTTGCAGGAGTAGGCAGCCGAAATGCACAGCACACCTGCTCGGTTAAGGAGGGACCTACCTTAACCCATCTGCCCACTGCAATTTTATCTACTTAAATACAGTGATGGAAGAGATTGCAAGAGAAAAATCAGCATGTTCAAGATGCCAGTTGGGTATAGTTTCTTAAAATTCACCCCCTAATCCTAAAGACTTAGTTGCACTACTAAACCCAGAAATACAAGAGAATTGGGTTTGATGAACTGGATGACAGACCAAAGGAGACCTCCTTGTGCTGAGCTGCTACTCAATGGGAACAGAAACTGCCTTAACATAGCAGCTACGTTTGGGGTTCTTTTTGTTTAATTCACCAATGCAGTCCTTCATATTCTCATGTCATTTGTTTTAACAAGGTCCTGACTACTTCACCTTAAGCTGTCATTGAAATACTCATCTTCAGAAGAGATCACAGCCATTTCGTAACAGTTAGGAGCCTGGGTTAGGAGACACTCCACTGCTTGACACTTGATACTTTTAGGATCCCCATGGCAAAAAGGAAACATCAGCTCCAGTTAATGAGATGGGAGAAGCAAAGTAATCCAGCAGGTACCAGAAAGCCCAAGGTAGATTGAAGGGGTGAGATCAGCAGCTCTATGATGAATTCACACCTACACCTGGGATAGCGTTAGCTGAACCAGTAGTGCCACCCGGTCACTACAGAAACAGCGAGAGGCTGCCTGCCAAGACCAAGGTTAGCAAGAGCCTCCCCCAGCTCCGTAACACGACTACCTGGGCAAACACCTATGCTAGCGTCATGAAGGAAGAGGGACAGTCCCCCTCTGTGAAACTCAGTAAAGGAACTGCAAACAGCAGGCAAGTCTCTAGCACTTTAATATAAACCTGGATCAGCAGCTTGCCCTTAAAATGAGCTCCATCAGTAAAGACAACAGGATGGTTTTGCACAGAGCAGTGAGTCCCAGACTGTGCCCCATGCAGAGGGCTTCCCATGCACGTGTCCTGCTTGGGATGGTAAATCCCAGGGATGCCTCTCCTGCAGGGAGACCCTCCACCCCCACTGAGCTAGAGAAACAAGCTCATTCCAACCAAAAGCCAGGAAAGGAAGTGTCTGGGTGCTGCAGTAACTATTCCCTTGGATTGAGAGGGGAAAAGCACACAGCAGGGACAAGCAGAAAGAATGTATCTATAGATATGTACATAATCAGTGCTGTAATTTTTGTATGTAGCAGTAATGTAAATAAGTGTATGGTTTTTATAAAATACATATTCTAAGAATCTATAAAGGCTATTTTTAGTAAAAACAATGATCTACTACTTTTGTAAATAGTTCTGAGAATAAAACATTTATACGACACTGTCTCAGCTCTAAGTCACTGCTACTTCTGCAAGGCTGCAGAACAAGCTCACTGCTGAAACTGCCTTCTTAGTATTTGACAGCATCTTTAGTCCCTTGTGATCCCAAGAAATTCATCCACACAGAGCTCTCGTGTTAAGAGGAGGGTTCTGAAAGAATGGTTGAAGCACTTACATCTGCTGGTGCACGGGGAAATGGAAAGGTGAGCTTGTAACTCTCCTCTACCATCCAACCATTTATATCTGTCACTGGCCAATATATGGATGAATATGGAGTGAAAAATCCAGAAAAAAAGAAAAATTCTCATCTTCTTGCAGGAATATGGAGTGAAAAATCCAGAAAAAAGAAAGAAAAAAATCTCATCTTCTTGCACGGATAAGGAACAGAAGTAAAGTCACCAATTCCAGCCTGCTGACTCATTCTCCTTTAGAGCTACAATAGCAACTCAGATTATGGGAGCATTTATTGTGTTTGGCCAAGGCGCCCTCCTAGGAAAAAGGAAACCCCCTCCACATGGGGCAGGAGGGCTCATCCCTGGCTTGCCACCCTCCACCTTCAGATGCTGGGCAACAAACAGCCTGAGGAAGGATTTGGCAGCTTGTAATCTTTATTTTTAGTTTTTTTAAAATTATTTAAAAAGCATAATTATAAACTTTCATTACAGAAATAATCCTAGCAAACCAGTTAGACATTCCATTGCTCAACATTTAGGAAACTTCACATCACCACCACTAGAGACACAACCCTTCCCACCAGATGGTCAGTGGCAGGAGCAGGGAGATGAACTGCTCCCCTCCAGCCAGCTCTAAGAGAAAGGAAAAGCAAAAAATATCCCACTTCAAGCCAGGAAGCTGGACGCCTCCATTGGCAAAGTTCAAACTGTGGCCACAAAGCCCTGGCCTCAGAGGACCAACCTTTCCACATAAGAGGACACTCCAGGCTTGGGTGCACCATTTCCTCGTTTTATTGCATCCATTCCAGTAAATTCAGAGATTTTCCTTTACGCCTTCCTGACGTTACTGCTCCCTAGATCCGCACGCTGCTACCACAAGAGCCATCGCTGGGCTCTTGATCCTGGAGGCAGTAACTGCCACGGGAAGGCTCCGAGCGAACTCCCTCCTTGCCCACGTCCACATCCCACATCACCAGCAAACGGGGTGGATGCCTGGGAGAACGGAGCTCTCATCTCTTGCTATTAGCAGTGCTCACACAGCGCTATCATCCCAGCTCATCTGGATTCTTGGGTTACCAATGAAAGATATGTGAAGAAAGAAACGGGTGAAGGCAGCTGGATCCATAATCCCAGCACCTGAACTGATTAAAAATGTGTTACACATTCATTGCTTGCATTTTCTTTTTCTAAGTCTTTGAAGTGATTGATCGTGACGTGATTGTTTGCTTAGGGCTTTTACCACACCCATAAGTATCTTTAAAAAATAAACACACACACGCCAGCAAAATAAGTGACTAAAATTTAGCCTCTCCTGGGGAAGAAAGGGAGAGAAGTGGATTGATTCAAAGCTCATAGACATCAGTGAAACACATCCTACCAAACTAAGGCCATCAGCTCCATAGGACTACACACTGGAACTGCATAGGTCCCACCTTGAAGGTCTTAAGGAAGCCATGCCTCCACAGCTTTTAGTCCTTTTAAGAATATTTATTTCAATTATTATAACAACTATGCAGGTGCTGAGCACGTACTTTTCAGCCCAGACAGTTGATATTTTAGATACACACAGACACTCCCCACCTTTAACCATGCCTAGTTGGACTGATGAATGAAGCCCTTGTTTTTTCCAGAAAGGACAAGGAGGGCTGTTGAGAAGACCAGAGTTTGTTCCCATACATGATCCTTCACCACCACATAACCCAAGCAAGCAAGCTTTCCATTTCCTTACATTAAACAGCAATCCTCCTTCCCAATAAGAGAATCCTGGGAATGATCCTGCAGCAGCCTTCACATCAAGACATCAATCCATAACAGCTGGGTTCACTATCATGCCTTATCTCTCTCTGAAACTTTTGCCACCAAAATTCACATTCAAATTCAGATCTCTTAATTGTGGACAGGGCAACTGGAATTTTTTTATTTTGGCAGAATCACGTTTTGCTTGTTCCCAAGAGAAATGGACTCTCACTTAGAACCCTGGCAGGACCAGAGGTCAAGGGAGTTTGATTTTGGTTTTTAAAAAAAGAAGTTTAATACAAATAAATCCCACCTTCTGCAGATTGGCGTGATTTTCAGTATCTGGATACAAACCAAAGGAGCGCACAGGTACAGCTGGGCTGCAGCACAAGAAGGTGGAACCCAAGGAGCCAGCCACAAACCTGGATCATGGCAAACTGAAACTGAAGGTCCCAGCAGCAGCACCAGCTGCCAGCCCAGGGGCTGGTGATGTGAAATCCCAGGCTCCAGCAGCAGCACTGGCAACCCTGGTACCTAGAAAACAAAGCCCGAGCCCCAGCAAAAGCCTGGAGCTCAAAGGGAAGCCCCAGGAACACCAGTTGCCAGCCTGAAGCCCGGAAAAAAACAAAGCCCAAGGCCCCAGGAAGCGGTTGCTGCCAGCCTGGGGCCAACTTGAGTGAAGAACTTGGTACTATTTCTGTAAAAAGATGAATTTTGCAGTCCATGATTGGTTGACATTAAGAAGGTATAAGCCAAAAGCAACAACAGGGATGCAAGGCTGGTTAAAGCAATATACATTATGTACAAACTCTTGGGTTAATTAGTCCACTTGGTAGGCAACGTCCTTTCTTGTCTACAAGGCGCACTGGAATGAGCAGGGGAGGAGAGGGGGGCAAGATTCCATCCGATACCTTCTTGGCACTGAAGTGGTAAGGTGCCAGCGCCTCTTGATAGAAAACATGAAGAAAAAATAATCTTTAAATAACGGCACAAAACTGAGAAAGTCCTCCCAAAGCCTGCCCCAGTGGAACTGCCCGAGTCTAGTTGGAGGGGCTGATCTGTCTGAGAGCAGAGTCCCTGCTGCTGGGAAGAGGCATTAGCAGCACCGCTTCTTCCGTTTACTGTTCTTCGTTAGCTTCACCACATCGTTCTGTTGCTGCTGTTGCTGCTTCGCTAGGTTTTCTTTCTTTGCTCGCAGAACTAGCTCTGTAATGCAATTAAACATCTGCAAGAGAAACAAGCATGTTCAGACCATCCAGGAGCTCAGGCTTGTTGTTGCTGAACAGCAGCTGTTTTGGTATTTCAGCACCCTCCCAAACCCACTGAGTAAGCTGAAATGCAGTATCTTCAAGCAAAATAAATAAAAATAAATCAATAACCTCTGCCCCTCCCAAAAGGGGTAAATAAGAACAGGTGAGTTTGACAGCTGAAGTCAAGAATGAAGATTCATCTTCCTAGAAGCATCTCCCCATACATCAAGACTTCACTGAGAAAACACCTGATGAGTTAGAACTGTAAGGCCAATGAGAAGACAGTGAGATGCCCTTCATTTCTCTTCCCCACTCCTTCCAAACACAGCTGGGTGTCTCTTCTTGACATATTAACTACGCATTCGTAGTTTATACAAAGCATTTTATCTTTCTTCCTCAACAAGACTAAATCTGTTTTTACTTTTCCAAACTAAGATTCCCAGGCAGTTTTATGGGCACTGTGTTCTGCATATTGCATTACCTCTTCCACATTAACATTTTCTTTGGCGCTGGTCTCAAATAATTGAATCTCCATCTGCCCAGCAAACTTATACGCATCTTCCGTCTCTACCACTTTTCGTTCTGGGTCATCATTCTTATTTCCCACTAAAAAGGAAGGAGGAAAATAATAATAATAATAATAATCAGCACTGCACTGTGGTGGGACAGCCCCCTGAATCTGCTGCCCCAGCTCTGTGCCCAGGAACTTACCCAGTATCCGACAGACATCATCACAGTTCTGATTAATTTCATGCAACCACCGTTTCACATTCACAAAAGATTCTGCACTGGTTACATCGTAGACAACAATGACCCCGTGTGTTCCTCTGTAATACCTAGGGAGCAGGAGAAGACAGTGAGGGTTAATTCAAGCTACGTATCACCTGCTTAGCACTTCTTGCTTGCAGCTTTTACAAGTTCCTTAAAAAAAAAAAAAAAAAAAACACAATCCTTGAGTTAGAGGCAGTCAAGCACCTCCATTTTCTTTGCTCTAGGAGTCATTGAATTATTTTACAACAGAGAGACCATATGTTATTGCTCTCAAGCTACAGAGTTCCCTGATCATTTAGCTCATAAAACTAGGTTCAAAGTTGAAAGATTTGTTTCAGCTGCTTCCTTGTTCAGGCTGTCAAACAAAACAGAAAAACAAAAGTGAAGATGAACACAGGCTTGTAGCTCCATGAACAAAACAGCAGTACCTGCAGTGTGCCCCTGGAGCCAGGCTTAGTAAATAGATACTGCCAGAAATATCTTTTAACCCTTTGAGTTAAAGTGAACAAAGTGTATTCCATGCTCAGGACATCCTTCAGCTGCAAACAGGGTGCTGGAGAAAGTATCTTAGGAAAAACACCACTACGTTTACATCGTTCTTCTGCTTTGCATTTCCAGTTTTTAGCTTTTGCTGTCTAAAAAAGAGATACTAGAGAAACTCTTATTTAACTCAGTGCAACTGTTCCTGCACTAAGGCTTTTAGCTTACTAAGCAACAGAAGAGAGGCAGCATTTTCTTACAAAAAGTCAGAGACATGTTGGCTGTATCAAGCTCTGCAGTAATTTTGTTATCTATGAAAGATTACTTGCAGACAAAAAATTGAGCAGATCTGCAGACACACTCAACCTCCAGGCATAGCTCCCTTTTGAGCTCACAAAAATTTCTGTCTTGTTGAAGAACTGTGTTCTGATCGCACCTTCCTACTCAACAGATTGACTCCATATGTGCATTTAATGAGTTCTGCTACCTTTAGCAATTAAAAATAAGCTTCACTCTGGTTTACTCCCATTAGCCTTGGGCAACTGGCATCTTTAAGAGATGATCAGCAATCCTGATGCACAAAAGAAACCAAAGCTGCAGTGTTACCACCTGCATGAGCCGATTAAAGGAAGGCCGTGTGTGCACCACAAACATTCTGCATCACATGAGGTTAAAGAGCTCCAGCTTTTCAGTTTTCAGCTACACTCCATGGGCTACCCAGGCATTTTCTTTGCTACAAATTAGGCAGCTTTGCCAATCAAGTCATTGAAGCAGTTGCTGTATCTCAAGTGCCTTCATTCTTTTCCTTTCGCTTTCTCTTTCTTACAACCAGCATCAGTTTGAGGAATGTTAAGATACAACTGAGGAATTCTCCTTAAACTATCATAATATTATTAGAGCTCGATTTCATACCGTAAGCTCCTCTTGCTGCACTCTCCCTTGCGGTGCATTTTAGAAGGGGTTTCTATGACAACCTCTGCTTGCTCTGGTAGCAGAATCACTTTGCAGTGACAGTCACTGGTTATCTGGGATTCTAAATGTGCTCCACAGAAGCAGATCCCACTTCTGCTGCTCACCTGGGTCCTTCCAGGTCTCACCTCCCCAAAGCAGCTGCTCCCATCCTTTTATACTGTGTTTTGCCAGCTATTTGTGCTGTACATCTACTTGGCAAGAATTGAGATGAAAAAAATGTTTATTCTCAGACCATTAGAACTCTTCTACTTGGCAAGAATTGAGATGAAAAATGTTTATTCTTGGACCATTCGAAAGTCCGCACTTTCAAATTTTATAATCTGTTCTCTATTGGTTCCTTTAAAAGCTTTGAAATTTGCTATAGGACTCCAAGGGTTCTAGTTACAGGCTCTACTACTTCACAACTTGGGTCCTTTTGAGGGAAGGCATTACACAGCACAAGTCCAACATTCTGCAAAAACAACCCATCCTCTCCTGACACTGCTGTGTACCGTACCCATCGCTTTGGATTAATAGTTGTACTTGACAGCATCAGGAGAGGAAATATGTCAAATCCTACCGACACAGCAGATCTCACTCACTGTGAGCAATAAACTGCTCATCTTCAAACTCTCCCGTAGCTCTGCCTAAAAAACCCCATCTCCTTCAGCAAGCCTCAGGCTGACCCACCGCTTCCTCCTCAGCACCAGCATGACACGTGTCAGGACAAGGTCTGGCCTTCAAGGGCAGAGCCGGGCCCCCCAGACACCAGGACACAGCCAAGCTCCTTCTGCTGCACCAGAGGGGCAGCACTGGCCTCATGGTCACCAGCCCAGAGGCGCTGCTGGAGCGTCCTGCAGCACCAACCTGCCCACACAGCCAGGTCTTCTTCTGGGGAAGCACACGATGTCGGGGAGTAGAATAACACAGAGATCCCCCTCCCCACAGAATTAGTTGGCACAAACTCATCGTGTGCAGCTGCACATGAGGGCTGTGGACCGGCCCATGCAGCACAGACCACCACGGCAGTCAAAACTCGGCAGGAGCTGCTGCCACAAAGCACTAAGGTTGGCAGAAATACCTTGCTTTGGGCAAGACAGGATCCCTGCAGAGTCAGGGGTAGCTCCCAGCACACACTGCTTCTATTTTGGGAAGAGAAAATTGTCTGGCACATCAATCTAGAAAGGTTGCCAGCCCCTCAGCTACAATAAAATGCCATTTCCCCATTGCCTGGCATTACCTGTTAGCAGCCTGGAGATAAGACTATTCACTACCTCTTGCTCTCTGATCTTAAGCCCCATAATACACCCATTTTCCTCAAAAAGCTCACCTTGCTATTTTCTATCATTTTCTAGATACAACCTTGTGTCCTAGGTAACATTTTAGGCCTAGCAGATGCAGCAAAGATTCTCCAACTGCAGGACAGTCCTAGAAAACAAAAATCTGATTTATCCTACCTCATACTTGCAATTTCAGAATGAAGTAGTGCAGAACTGCCTTTAGAAGAAGCTGTAGGCTTTGACGGGTAGAGAACAGATGGGACTCTGGCATTCAAGGAGCAGCAGGTTTTAAGTTTTGTGCTTTTGGCAATTCAGAGGCAATTGAGCCTTTGATACAATAGAAAGTGTCCCATCTTCCCATCTACACTTTAGGAAAGAGACATGGAGACCATGTAAGTAAAAGCAAAAGAGAAAAAGTTCTCATTCTTAGCGTTCCATTCAAGGGATGAGTGACTGATGCTGGTTGTCCACTATATGGACAACGATGTGTGTGCTCTACAAACGCCAGGAGTCAGTGCTACCCTCAGGAATAAACATGTTAATGAAATACCAGAGAAGAGAGAAAACGTTATAGAATAGTCATTAATGGAATGCACGAGGAAGTGTCCCACTGAGATTAAAGATGTTTATCAAACCTGAGCTTTTTCTAAATGTATATGCTCTTGGACATGTGGTAGTAGACAACTATCTTTACTATGGCTGGAAATGTTACATAGATCTAAAGACTTCACGTGTGGAATTTTAGCATATCTATTGTGACAGATTAGTTGACTAATCTTTTGACCATCATAGCTAACATAGTAATTTACTATATTAAAAAAAAAAAATCCTCTTGAGGATACCGTTTCCATACAAATGTATGGCAGAAAGTCTTACTATTATCATTTACCCTGAGCTAACACCTGAAAACTATTTTTAAACTTATATCCTAAAACTGTAGTCCAGAATACAGCCCTGTGTACAAGATCAGATTAGAGCCAGAACTGGCTTCTCATGCTGCTTAAGTATTTCCATTAATGCAGCTGAGCCCTGGCATGCTACATCGTGAATTTAAGCAAAACTTTAAGAGTTGGGATGATGTTCCATGCCAGCCAGGCTGGAGACAGCACTGGCCTCTTCTCGCCATGCACCAGCCATCCTAATTTCCATCATTTCTAGATTTAAAAGACAGCAGAAACAGCTGCCACTTCTGTTTCAAGTGCTGATGTAGCTTAGTTTTCCCGAGTTTCTGCAGAGTTTGCCTCATCAACTTCATTACTGCTCAACAGCTTTTTGATTATTCCACCTTCAGCTTCTGTAGCTGTAGCCAAGTTAAATATATATATATCAAGATACTATAACCTTCTAATTTTCCCAATTTTCTACTATTAAATTTCTACCACTTCAGTCTTTCATAAACCCAGGTCTACACAGTAGCAATTCTAACCAGTTATTACTAAATGGGTTCTAACTTCAGACTTGTTTGCCAAGCTTGGCTTGGCCTCAACCCACACACTACCTTTACCTGTAAAGGGACTTCCTGGCCTACAGTAACACTCAGGGAACACCTTTTAAATATTCTTCACCTCAATCTAAACAGTCATTACCTGGCTCTACATCACCTGATTGACAGGGCATTGCCACTCTGCCCATGATCCAGTCAGCCAAGTCCTCCTCTTCCAAGTATAACAGAGCAATTCAATTTGCCACTACTCAGTTTAAGCAAATCTATTTACTACTAAAAAGAGATGATAAAATCCCTTACAAAGCTAGAATCTTTTTATCAGTTATTTATACGGATGCTGTATCTAGGTCCAGAGTGACTTTGGGAGAACAGCAAGGAATTTCAGTCACAACTAGCCCACCAAGCAGCAAGAGGAGTCATCCCTACAGCTTAACTTGAGCTTCAAAAGCATTTCCCCTCAACACTTTGATGCACCTGAACACAGGTAACTCTCTCTGCTTCATGTTGCATAGAATTCCAATCTTTCTTCCCTGGTCCTGGAGAATTTCTGTAGCTACTTTACCAGTTTTAAGGCAGAAAAAAACTGGGACCTTATACTCCCAAAGAGCAAAACTTACATTCACCTTTAAGCTGTGTAAGAGAAAGCATTAGCTTTCTCTTACAAAGGAGTGCTAACTCCTCATAACACCAAGCACTTTCCATTTAAGCTGTGTAAGAGAAAGCATTAGCAAAGTGCTAACTCCTCGTAACACCAAGCATTTTCCGTTTCTCCATGGTAAGTGATAACGAAATCAAGGAAAAGATTTCCACAAAACCCTATGCAAAACCCAACCCTGCTCCCAAATGAAGCCTCCTTCCCCGCTGTTCCCCATCCAGCGCTGGACACCGTGGCTTTCTAATCTAGCTGGCATCAGCTTCTCAGCCCCATGAAGCAACGCTCATTAACAGCTCTCAGTTGTGTCCGGGAATCCGAAAACAGGAAGGCCGTTTGCTGACTCAGCACTAATTCGGGCCCTCTGCGAGCAGCCTATAAGCACAGCTGACACGAGCTGCAGCAGTGCTTTGCTTTGCTGCTTCCCCCTCTCCGCTTCCTGCGGCACTGAAACAAGAAGTGATGTCATGCACAGGAACCCTACGAGAGGCAACCGAGCTTTTTCAAGCTAAACACTTAAGGAACAATGGGAGAAATCCAGTAATATCCGTATAGAAGCGCAGAGGAAAGGGGTGGTGCACACGTCAGGTTCAGTTCTCACATTTCTAGCTGTTTAGACCTACCACAGGAGCAACCAATCTTACTAGTTTTTTAAAGTCTAAGTTAACTGATGCATCAGCTGAAGACAGCACTGTTCTCTTCACAGAAGCTGGGTGAGCAGTTGGTCATGACCATTGAAACACCTATTGGGGATTTGTTGTTCATTTTTGTTAAATACCAGGAGACAAGGACTCTATTACCAAGACTACTACTTCTTCCTCTTCCCCTAGTGCTGCAATGAGCAGCCCCACGTTTACTGCAATTACTTTGCAGGCACATTTTATTCTTGGCTCCCATGGCTGCAGCTCTGGGTGTGGTTTCTTTGGGAAGAGGAAAAGCTGCACATATGCTGCTCAGAAGGACAATGAACATGAAGCTGAACTCAAAACGAGGAAAAGGTTAACTTCATGTGGGTGTTTGCTTCAACAAAACCCCCACCAAGGTAGCCTTTAGAAGGCATTTGTCCTAAGGGAATGTTAAGTTGTGGATAGCCAACTTTAGGACCTCAAAGCTACTCAGAGCCTGCACTTTGCACTTCTGCAATACAATCAATCTCAAGATGATCTTCTGCAACAGGCTTTAGAGTTAGGTTTACTAATACATGAAAAGTTATTAATTAATTCGAGTTCTACAGTTTGGAAACTAGAAGCAGAAGAATAAGGCCAAGCCAACATGGAAATTTACAGAAGAGTCAGGAATCTAAAATCCCAGTTTCACAACTGAACCATGATATTATCACTCCCACCTACTCTAAAAAAAGCTGAGAAGACCAGCTACACAGACAACACAGTTACCATTAGCTGATCAACAGCCAGGTTAAAATATCTTCAGCATAGTTTCAGACTACAAGAGGTCTAAATTTCACATTTCCATATGTGAAATTACACATCAGAAAGCCCCATTACACTCACGTTGACGTGATGGTCCGGAAGCGCTCTTGTCCAGCTGTGTCCCAGATCTGTAGCTTCACTTTCTCTCCATTAATTTCAACTGTCCGAATTTTAAAATCAACTCCAATTGTGGTAATGTAGCTACCTGATAGAAAAGAGAATAAGTGAGAACCTAAGTCTTGTTTATTTTGCATGTCTCAAAGCAGCACACTTCTAAACTTGCATTGGCAATAGCCCTCTCTGGAGATGAGAGAAGGTTCCTCCTATCCATTCATCTTTTAAAGTGCCCTTTGAGATCAGCAATCTGCATAATTTTACCTGCAGCTAACAGCTTTTCCCCCCACTCCTCCCAAGCCACTTCTTCCCTCCCACACTAGAAATAAATAAAATTCAGTATCACAAATCCCCAATCATAATCTACCACATCGGTTGTCAAAGATAAGCACCCAAACATCTTAAGAAATGGGCAATAACTAATGAGGGGGGTCACTTGTTAAAAAGAAAAAAAAAGACAGTTTTGTCTCATGCTAATGCAACCACGTATTTTGAATGTAGTCTATTCAAAGAGAATCCCTCTTAATAGATCAGTTACAATACAAACGTGAATGATTTAACTACAATATTCAGTCTAAATCTCAAGGGACAGATGGGAAGTCTGTGCAGAGCACAGTACAAGCTCAAAAACCTCAGCTATTTCTAGAACCACATCAGTACTTAAGTATCAGTGCTTTCAGTTACAAGTGAAGATCAAACAGGATGCTTCTTTAGTCTTGTGCTATGAGAAGCAGAGGTAAAAAGATAACACATCCCCAGTACAGCTATCAGGGCAAAAGCAACCCAACTGCTCCTTGCCTATTCCAACAGCACTGGTGCAGCCCTCAACTGTTTCATTTAAGTAAACTAAATACTCACCTGAGAACGTATTATCTGCAAAGCGCAACAGCAAACTGCTCTTGCCCACACCTGTGATGAGACAGCAAGATATTTGAATATAGTCACATCTTGCATACCAGGTAACATGACAGTATTTTTCACATTCATGGAATTCTGCAACTTGAGCTAAAAAAATCTTTTCTCGGTCTGTAATTTAGTACCATCCACCTTGCTCAAATGCTCAAGGGGACTATCAAAATGAATATCCAAGGGCCACACTGCTGTTAATCCAAGGCTTGCTATGTTTCTCGATCCAGTACTGTATTTTTGTTTGTTGTCATCCTCTCCTTTCTTTAAGCCCCCAGCAAGCTCTCAACCTGCAGTTTTCAAGCTATGGTTTGCAACCCATTCCAAGAGCTCATCAAAAGTAATGACAAGAAGCAAGTTGATGATCAGTAGCCTTATATTTGCAACAGAAAGAACCAAAAACAAGTATGCCCTGCTAATCAGAATGCTCAGAACACTGTTCTGAACGTCTGTATTGAATTCAATGTGCTTAACACCACTGCCTACCTCCCATTCATTTATGCAGTGCTGAACAGCAATGGAATTTGGACAACTTAGTTGATCAGACTAGGGTTTGGTACTATAAAGCTCATGTTAACATTGACACAGTTTAACAGAAGCCTAAGCCAAACAGTAGCGTTGGGAGCCACTGTTCTACACAGTCATCGCAGATTGGCTAATTCTACATTTGGAAGGCACTTTCTGAGGTTGGACCTTTCACCAACACGTTCCATGAAACATTTTTAAGCGCTTGGAGAAGCACTTCATCCAGATTTTTCTTAGATGATTGTTTGCACACTGATAACACCCTGTTCATGGGAGCATTTTTTCCACATTGCTTCGAACAAGAATAAGAAACTCATTCCTGCACACCCGGGCAGGGGGAAGACGATCAAAATGCCCCTGTGTTTTCATCTCTACATAACATCTATTGCCCCTTTCTTCTCCCTTCCCCCTAAGAAGCACTGTTATGACACAAAGAAGAAATTTAAGCTCATTAGTGTGATTATCTACCACATATTTTCAGGTAGGAGTTATTTAAGCTAAGTATTTTGATGTTTCATAGTTTACTTTTTTTCCTCCCTAATAAAATGACTGTGCTAAACATATGCAACAACTGTACGGAGTTTCCACAGTTGACAAACACTGGAATTTGAAGACAGCAGCCAGTACGAAAAAACTAAAACCCTGCATGATTCCAGCAATCCAGATCTCACATGCAATAAGTTCAAATCACCACTGACCTTAACAGCCTCTCTCATTGATTCTTACAATCTATTTTTAAATGTTATTAACAGTAAAGGCACAGCGTGCACATCCTGTGTACCTCTGAGCTCAGAAGATAGCAGAGCAGTTCCCAAACTTTAGCAGAGGATCAGTAATCCAGCAAGACCTACTCTTAACCCAGGCAAGAGAACTCTCTGTGGGAAAAGTTGAGTTTGAGGAAGATGGGTTTCAGCAAGCACGATGCTTTTTGAGCAAAAAAACCTTGACCTCCAGCTTCATTAAAAGTTTTTAAAGGTTTGAACCCACAGGCCTGTCAGAGCATGCTTAAAAGAGAGAGATTCAGCCCTCACAGCAGTACTGCAGAATGCCATAGGCTGCACATGACTGCTGCTTTGTCAGACTGTCCACTGCTGCATAGACACAATTGTGCCCAGAGCTGCTCCGAGACAACTTCTGAAGAAGAGAAACCCTCCTGAACTCAGGAAATCCTACAGGCTCCAGATGACAAATCTTGCTGAACACCCCTTGCGCCTCTGACTGACACCGTTCTTGTGCAGAGAAACCACACGCTTCATGACCCCCCACCTCCTACACACAGTTATTTGGAGATACGAAAAGAGAAGACTAGCAGGGCTTCTTTGCTCTTGGAAGACAGCAAGGTCCAAAAAATCTACTGACTTTGCAATATCACTATTACAAGTAAGCTTCTGCGCTGTAAGACTTTCTAAAACAAACCTCTATCTCACTGAATGATAGCGTGAATTAAGACAGGCACATGCAAAGCAAACAATCTGTATTATTTTTAAATATTCAGAACAACTGAGATCACCATCAACTTTTCAGCATGCCCTGCCCCAAAACACACAAACCTACTACCCTCTTGAAGATGAAACCTGCGTATGGGGGAAAAATGAATGAAACATAACAACCTATCCAACATCAGTCCACTAATGATTGCAAGGCTTTTCAAAACATCAATCAACAGGCAAGCAAACTGTTGTGGAAATGAGGACAAAGCCTTTCTGTTGAGGTAAAGGCTCAAAGAGAGAAAAATCAATACTCCAACTAGACAGTGAGATTTAAATACAATAACAGAGAACCACAGTCAACCACCACATTATTTCCCCTCTTCACACACCAGACACACCATAGGAATTTGGATTCAGTTAAGAAGGTTCAGCTAAGAAATTTCTCTAAATTGTGCAGAGGGTAAGTTTTCTCCATCCTGTTTATCTTGCCTGAACAGTTTTGAAGCTCATCAGTAAGCAGACTTACTGCTTTACTCAGAACGTACTACTCTGTTTTAATAACCCACAGACCAGCCCCGCAAAGCGCTCAGGGTTTAAAAGGATTTCTTTGCTGTTATCCCTGGTCCTGTCTCAAACACAGGCTCTTTGAAAATGGTTCTTTCCTTCTTGCAGACACAGCGTGGCACAGAAGGAAATATTTTCATAGGCAGCCAAGTCCCCAGAGGTGACACCTCCCCAGAGCGCGTTTGCTCCTCGCTGCGTGTCGGGGCCTGCCGCGCCAGGACCACACCTCTCCAGGGGAGGGTGGATGCCGTGGACTCCGGCTCATGGAAATGCAGCCCCAGAGAGCTGCAGTGCAGGGCTAGGCAGAGGGCAGGCATCGCCCCGGCCCGCTGGGTGCCCACACCAAAGCGCCGGACGCTTACGCTGCCCCTCCAGAAGCTTCTGAGGCTGCTGCAGAGGCATCTCCGGTCCATTTCTGACATCTAGAACGACTCCTTATCCACAATTCTTATAAGCATGCGCACACTTTACTATAACTAGAAGCCATCAGCTTTGCAATGACAAAAAATACCCCAACAACAACAAAGAACTCTGGAATAGGGATTTTAGGCTGATGCTGAGAGTCTTAAGGACCGTTTCTGCTAATATGGTACCAACACACAGTAATTACCACCCGGAAACCGCGGTCCCCAAGGCTGGGGCAGCCCTTCCTCACCTGCCCGTAGGGGCCGGTAACGTTAATGAGGAGGGAATCCCTCCCTCTGCGCCTCCAAACCGCGGGGCGCGCAGAGGCGGATCCCGCCGGGAACGCCGGTATCGGGACCCTCGGCGATACGCGACCAACCTTTTATTTATTGTTTCCTCCCTTTTTTTTCTCTCCTCCAGCCCCTGCACCATGGCCCAACCG